AGGTTAACGTTAACAGATATTTTTGGCAACGAAAGCTAATACGCAGAATTTCGTCGAAGGTTATTTGAGCGGACATCTATACAATTATTCTCGAGCTTGGTGCATCGCAAAAATCCTTAAAGCCCCGAAACTTTCTCGGGAATCACGCGGAGCAAATTGTATACACGAGAAGAAAGATCCAAACACAGAAACTTCGCTGTACCGTTTTTCAGAAAAAGGAAACGAAAAGGACCCCCTGAAATCAGACCAACGAGGCCAGGGGACAGGTAAGAACCGTCGAGGCAGGGGAATCCGAGCCAGATGGACCTGTTGTTGGGACCTGTTCCGTCTTGCAGGTGCATTCGTCCGATTCGAGACCGCGCTTGTGGAAGAAAATAATGCACAGGCCGACCGAGAAAAAGGACAAAAGGGAGGTGTGGGCGCGTCTTTTGCGCCGTTGGAAATCTCGCTCTCGTTCCTCTCCCCCCGTCTCGATGCCTTGATTGTCCATTCGAAACGCATCAACGATCATCCTACTGTCACACGGTTTCGTCTCGAAAACGAAAAATGAAACTTCCAAGTTAGAGTGAAGCTAAACGCCTGACACCTTGGTTCAATAACTTTGTCACCATAATCAAATTTCCTTTCTATATTATTCGCACGTACATCTGCGTTGATCGAATCAACGCAGTGAACTTGACACGTGTGACAAAGTGACGAAGTACAACCGAACCTACAGATTTTTAAATATCGAGCTGAATTGTTCGTGAGGGAGCCACGTAATTAAATTTAATTAACATACATGGCCCTGAACGTTTGCTTCGTTTAGAGGGCAACCCGTGGTTAATAAAAAGTACAGTTTCGAAACTGGGCTCCTGTAGACTCAGAGTCTGAAGGAAAAAAAAACAAAAAAAAAAAAAAAACAAAAGAAACAAAAGGGAACGAGCTGCTGAGGACGGAGACGCCGCCGATGGCCAATAAGAATATTAAGGCCTGCCTTAAAGAGGTGGAAAAAAGAGGAAAAAATGCTCTCACCGTCTCCGTCTGATGTCCGTCTGCCTGGCGACTGTCTGGCTCTCTATGCTCGTCCGGCCCGAGAGTCGCGCCGGTTGTCGCGGCGATTTATGGATCTCTTTGCTCGCCACTTTTTCCAAACCAATCGACAGACATCAGAGAAAAATATGCACACTTATTTAAGTAACTTCCGCTGCTTACTGCTACCGAATTTTACTGGTGTTATACGGAATTTTGCGAAATTTGGAATTCTCTAAATCTCGTTGCGCGTATTTAGAATTCTACAAA